ATAAAACGGAGTGTATATATTTACCTGAACATAAAATGTAGACCAATAATAAGGAAGATGGTACATGTCTTCCCAATGAACAAGCTTGAGCTCTTCTTCTTTATTTACACTCCTAAGCCATTCATCAACCGTCCCGGTCGTTCTAGCCTCCACCATCCTAACCCCTGCGTCGTTGCTCCTCACCTTCCACTGCCGGTTTAGCTCCTGATCCTTCTCTTCCGTACCATCAATTTCCTTAACCAACCTCCCGGTCATTATCGGATAACAATTGAGGGTGTATGCTAATGATTCCCTTAGTTTTTTTGTGATCTCTCCCGGTTCCCTGATTTTGGAAGATCGGTAATAGTGTACCAGACGGATGTGGTTCGGTTCCATGATGTGGTCCAATACTGATAACCGATATAATTGCCCTGGTTCAACCGGTTTAGTACTCACCACGGTTCTTTTGCATATAAATCTCACACGGTCCTCCATTATTGTCTTCTCTTTTGCTTACCTTTTTGTTTTAATTCGTTGGTTAGAGAATAGGGTTTGTATATGCTTGCACATTGGTTGGTGACTTGGTGTGTATTTATATTTGAGACACATACTTTTCCCATGAACAAAACAACCCTAACCTTGGGGGAAGTAAAATTTCCATGGTCCCGTAAAACAAGTTTCTGTTATGGTCGGATTCATGATAATCAATAAAATGTTGTATAAAATTTGTGTTTAGAACAGTAAATACAAAATATTTATCATGGGGTTAAAGATTAAGGATTTGAATATTCTCAAAACAACTTCAATCATGGTTGACTATTGTGACGGCTCAAAAAAATTCCATAAGTTTAATCAGAATTTTGGTCCGAAATCCCCCATTGTAGAGAAATATATTTTGGTTCGAATTTTGGTGGTGACATATGTAACCAAACTTCTTCTTTTGTTTGTGTATTATTTTATTTTTCGACAACAGTTTGCTTAGTTAAATACTTAAATTTGGCATAGATTGTGAATACTTAAAAAGAATTTTAATTGATTGATTGGAAAAACAAGGCCCAATACATATTCTTACGAGCCCCAAACTAACGAAATCATCAAACGTCGCCGTCTTGTTTCGTATAATACTCACGCGCATTCAGCAGCGCGTGATAGTAAATTCCTCAATATCTTCAGATCACAGGCTCTGATAATTTCTCTCCGAGAGAAGCAGATCGTATCATCACGACCATCGCAATA